AGCCCCAATCGGCCTGTGTCTTTTTTTCCCCCTGGTCAGAAAATTTTCTTGTATGTGTTTTCATGCAATAAATGTTTGTCTGTTGACAGCTGATTTTACTCTAGTCCTGGTGAGGCTTCCTCGATAATGAGTAGAGGTCAGTAACATCATAAAGGGGATTTAGATCATCCCATAATAAGGAGGGGTGTGGAGGAGTCAAGGCGGCTAAGAGGGTGTGTACTCACAGGTCCATAGAATTACCCAAATCGACCCAAAATCTACCCAAATCCTGCTAGCATTACATAAGTAATGAAGAAATATGGTATATTTACTCACTATAATGTTGGTGCTGAATGCAAAACATGATGAAACTTGGTTATACTCTTAAATAATCTAATTTCATAACGAAATTAAGAGTAAATATGTAGCAGGTGACGTCATAGGAAGTCGATGGTCCAAGGGACAATGTTGTGGAGCGACTTATCCAAGATATGTCTTGCTGGCATATCGGCCTCCTGTACAGTGATCCAGTCGTCGCATATCTTGGTTCAAATTGTCGCAAATTTAATTGGTGATATTAACAAGTAAAATGCGTATTTGTAATAGCGACGTCCAGGATCCACCCACCTCTCTCCAAAGAAATTGCCACGCAGTAAGAAAACAACTTCCTAACCATTCAGAAACAAACGAACCCAAGCAACCTACCTCGGTCCGTCTAATCACCGCAAGCAACCACAAGCTACTCAAGCTTCACTAAGCTTCCTGGCAATACGTTAGTAATGAATAAATATATATTTACTCGTCATAATGTTGGTGCTGAATGTACGTGAAAAAACAATTTTAATCTGAAAAAGTATCTTTTTATAAAGAAATTAGACGAAAATAAAAAGCTGGCGACGCCAAATTAAGTCGACGAGCCAAGCTTCGGTTAGGTTTGGTCTGGTTAAGTTAGGTTAGGTCAGCCTAACCTATCATATTTATTCATTACTAACGTATTGCCGTGAAGCTTGTGGTAGCTTGTGGTAGACGGACCCACCTACCTAACCTATAAAGTCCAGACACTTTTTTTTTTTTTTTTTTTAATAAATATTAAATGTGTTGTGGCTATTTATGAAATATATTATAAATACGCATTCTATTTGTTAATATCACCAATTAAATCACTGTGTACAGGAAGCTGATAGCTTCTGGTGGTAGCTTGTCACAGGTGAAAGTGGAGCCTAGGCCATTTGTCATGATAATTAGTGATGGCTCTTATTTTGATTATGGATCTGTAATCTGGTTATGCCTTTATTCTTAATTTATATTAACATACTGTACTGGTAAAATGCACTTCTTGATGATGAGTATAGTGTGCAAAATGAACTACCACTCACAGGATGAGTATGGGTGCAGAGAATGATTATGGAGTGCACAGAAAACAAAGATTAACATGATGAGAAAGGGCTACACAATATACTATGACTGACAGGATGTGTTTACTAGTTGTGTTTTTGCAGGGGTTGAGCTTTGCTCTTTCGGCCCGCCTCTCAACTTGTCAATCAACTGTTTACTAACTATTTTTTTTTTTTTTCACACACCACACACACACACCCCAGGAAGCAGCCCGTGACAGCTGACTAACTCCCAGGTACCTATTTACTGCTAGGTAACAGGGGCACTTAGGATGAAAGAAAGTTTGCCCATTTGTTTCTGCCTCGTGCGGGAATCGAACCCGCGCGTCACAGGAAATACTGGTCACAGGAAAGAGCCAGAGCTGCAGAACCAAGGAGCCAAAGCTCAACCCCCCTCAAGCACAACTAAGTAAAGTACAGGATGAGTATGGGGTGCACAGTAAACAAGGACTCACAGGATGAGTATGGGGGGTGCACAATAAACTACCACTCACACAGGATGAGTCGATGATATTCGTGCTCTATATTAGGGTAACTAAAATACACCTCTGTTTCCAAAATAGTTACTTTTAATGACAAATATTAAAAAATATATTGTATGTTAACAATTTCTGATGATGTTGAACATCTCATCATATACTGTACATATATATAGGGATCCCGGTAGTACAGTTGGGTTCATTCTCGAAGCACAATCGAGAATTCCGGGTTCGAATCCTGGGCGGGACAGAAATGGTTGGGTACATTTCCTTTCACCTAATGTCACTGTTTACCTAGCAGTAAGTAAGTACAGAGAAGTTAGTCAACTTCTGGTGGGGGTCAGTAATTTGACCTTGGGGATGACCTCGATAAAAGCATAAAATGTGTATGAATACACTCTGGCTTCCTGTCCAACACGATGAATTATAATTATAATATTGTGGTTTATAATTAAATTCTTAATAGCGATCCTGTATCATAATTAACATACGTATATCTTTACTGCCATTTTGTGTATTAAAGTGACAACAATTTTATAAATTAATTTCTTTTTGTAACTGATGATGATAAAGTGCAATTAAGGTGTTATCTCAAGATAACATCTCAAGATAAGGTATCATTGCAACTTGATAAGAAATTGTTAAATCCTAAATATATATCTTAGTTGTTATACTGTACTGTATTTGAAATATAGTTACATTAAATGTTTGAAAGCAAAGTTTATGTCTGTATTTTCAATAAAATATAAACCATTAACGTTTATTCAATGCATCTCTGTGAATTACATAATTTACAGAATTGTGCTTCTTGTGTTCCCTGCCTGGCTGGACAGTGATGCATAGGAAGTTTTCATGTGTCTGGACACCGGCGATGGTATGGTATTATTTATTTAACCATACCTTGGCTTTCATTTAAGATATACATTCATTGAAATGTAGTCACATCATCGTCTACATCTGTCTTTATTCCGACATATAGACCTTTAAGGTTAATTTGCCTTAAATATGTATATATGTATATATACATATTTATTATCTTAAATATGTATATATGTATATATATGTATATATATATACATATATATATATATATATATATATATATATATATATATATATATATATATATATATATATATATATATATATATATATATATATATATATATATATATATATATATATATATATATGCAAATTAATTACACAATTGAATGGCATGTGTGCAGGGGCATATTTGAATTTAAAGTGAAGATACGTATACCTGTATTTTCATAATCGCCAAGCTTCGACCCCCAGACAGATCGATTGATGGAGCAACTCTCTCTCACAGATCAATATTTATTTCACATAAATTCGTTAATAAACACAAATTTTTATATGTTTCAAGGAAGATAAAATATAAGCTTCATTTTAAGTACTTTATCATAACCATATTTAAAGCTCAAGTGAAGATACACATGTTCTTATAGTGGCGTTCAGTAGCTTGTCAGTCATGGAGTGCAGACGCCTACGCACGGGCTGATATATTGTGTAATTAACAAAGATATGCTTATAAAGCCTAAAATATTACATGCCTTCAGAAAGATCGACATATAATCGTTATTGTGAGTGCACCAAAGGAAATATATCAATCGAGTTGGAGAACAAAGATAGATCAATTTTAAATGAAGTTTCGACTCTCGCCCAGGCAAGAGATACCAGCAGGCATCTCTTAGCATAGCATCTCTCAGTATCTCTCAGCAGATATCCATCTGGACCATCTGAGGTTCAGATGGGGCAAGAGAACAGACTATTGCCCCATCTTTTGGAGATTCTGTCCACCTAATGACCCAAAGCTACTCAAAGCCCCAAGCATTACGTAAGTAATAAAGAAATATGATATATTTACTCACTATAATGTTGGTGCTAAATGCAGAACATGAGAAAACATATTTTTACTCTGAAATAATATAATTTCATAATGAAATAAGAAATAAATATGTGGCATCAAAGGAAGTCAACGGTCCAATCGACAATGTTGTGGAGTGACTTATCCAAGATATGTTGTCGTCTGGAAAGTGTTTGCTGTCATATCAGCCTTCTGTACACAGTGATCCAGTTGTTGCACTTCTCTGCTCAAATTATCGCAAATTTAATTTATGATATTAACAAGTAGAATGCGTATCTTCAATAATATCTAATATATACCCCTCATTTAAATCTTTGAATATGTTAAATATTTTGTCACTACACATCCTCTCAAGTGTACTCTATATATTTAAAACTCTGAACTGTAATGCCAATCCTGACTTTAAATGCTTCCTAGAAGGTTGTAACAGAACCCATGGGCACAACACCAGAAACAAATATCTATTTGATATTCCAAGAGTGTGACTTAACCAAACTAGAAATGTTCTTCAAATCAAGGGACCCAGAATATGGAATGACCTTCCCAATCACATCTAAGACTGTACCTCTCAACCATTTAAGAGAAAAACTAAGTACTACCTAATAACTCCATGCAACCTACCTTACTAATACTTGTACATACTACTACTAATATTTTGTACTATAGTATGTATAAAATGTATTTTTAAGTTAATATTTTTGAGTGTGTGGAACGGATTAATTCAATTTACATTATTTATGGGAAAATTTGTTTTGGTTTTCAAATTTTTGTTTTTTGAACCATCTCTGGGAATGGATTAAATTCGAAAATGAAGGTACTATCATACAGTATATCCAAAACAGAAAGGGATTATTGACAGAGTCCTTACCTATCTAATACAGTACAGTACCTGTATTCTGAAATACTGTAGTTCCCAAGATCAGTGTCCCTATGGCCGAGTGTCCTTATTAAGCCTCCTAGTTGACCAGACTGATGGACACCATTGAATACAGTCCAACTTGGGAAAACTACACACATCTTGATTTATAAGGTACCCTTTCGAGTGGTTTATAGAAGTTTCTCTTAAACACATGGGTCTGTTAGTAATGCCACTGATACAACGAAAATGTTGAACGGTCTCTCTAAATACTTATTGCACCCCTACTTTTTAATGGGAGTACTTTGCACACACAGTCTTTCATTTAATCTCTAATAATACTACCCTTTAAAACTGTGAATATTCAAGCAAAGGTTTGCTGTTTGTTTTAAAATAAAATAAAATGTTAAATATTTTATTTCATTCCAGATAAAAACAAAGGTATATGTATAAACAAAACTGGTTTCTTAGTTATATGATATTATTAATCGATATCTGTAAAGTTAAGAAAAAAAAAGAACATTCCAATTACAAGTTGGATAGTATTACTTACATAAAATTTTATGAGCATGAAAAATCTATACATTTCTTATACATTACAATATACAAATATTATGTTTATATATTTTTGACAATGTTTACTTTATTCATTTTTAAGACAATTTATCACTAGTCAATAGGTATTTAAAAATGATTTCTTAATACTAAGTTTCAAATACTTTATACAGTACATATATATCTTCAGCTGCAGGAAGAAACAAGACATTTGTATACAAATTATGCAATACCTTAAAACTATATCTTCAAACAGATCACATTAGCAGGAACTGTGGTGCTACTGAGCTCCAGAGACTAATAGTATGGCCACAGCCATGTGTGCATCAAACACGTGTGTGGTGCTAATAGTATGGCCACAGCCACGTGTGCATCAAACACGTGTGTAGTGCTAATAGTATGGCCACAGCCACATGTGCATCAAACACATGTATGTGTGTGTGTGGTGCTAATAGTATGGGCACAGCCATGTGTGCATCAAACACGTGTGTAGTGCTAATAGTATGGCCACAGCCACATGTGCATCAAACACATGTGTGTGTGTATGGTGCTAATAGTATGGCCACAGCCATGTGTGCATCAAACATGTGAGTGGTGCTAATAGTATGACCACAGCCACATGTGCATCAAACACATGTGTGGTGCTAATAGTATGGCCACAGCCACGTGTGTATCAAACACGTGTGTGCGCGTGGTGCTCGTCTCGGCGAGTATAGGCAGCATTACTGCTCTTTTTCAAATGTTATGCATCTTATATCTAATAATCGAAAGCAGAACATCAATGTCTCTTGTCTTTTATATTTGTAATGTTGGTAAATTATCATTTTTAAAACTTATTCCACTTTTGTTAAACATGGCCTTGCTGCTACTTATAACACATTATATAATTTATAAGCCGTGGTCAGCATTAGGCTACTAATATTACCTTTTCATTGTACAAATATATGATGTACAGTATTTGAAACATTTATAATCTAAGCTGATTATATATGTTCAAACATTTAATGAATAAGTTTTTATTTTTCATGAATGTACACTTGTACATCAATGAAAAAAGGATTTTCAAATCAATTAAAATTTCAGTTGTGACGTGGCCCAAGAATGTTAAATTTACACGTTACACAAGTCTTCAAAATTTGGGTACGGAAGCATACAATTATTGTACTAAAACTATACTGGCATAGGAAAAGGCTATATATTATCACATGCTTCAGTAAATTAAATTAACTCTTTTTTTTAAGGCACATGATATTGTGGGATACACAATGCTCATTTAGTTGCAGAAGCTTACACAGTCAATAAGTCAAATAACCTAACAGTAATTACCAAGACAATTCTCACTAGATATAGTCTGCTCAGCAGAAAGATAAACCTGCAAATATTTATATAATATCAATGGAAGGATACAATAACTAATATGGATATGAGCATTTGAACAAAACATTGAAGTTACAAGGAGCAATACAAATTGATATAGTAATTGCTAGAGGACTCAAAGTGTGTAGCCAATATAGCAGTATTTTGTTTAACTTTAAAGTCATTTATGAGTGCTCTTTGCTGGGTACTTGTTACAGGTCACTCTGGCCCGGTCCCGTGACTGTAATGAAAGTGAAAATATAATAATACATTGTATTCATATGAATTTAATCCTATGGTCTGTAATACTGTGTGTGGGTGTGTGTGTGTAATTACCTAATCATAGTTACAGGATGAGAGCTATGCTCGTGATGTCCCGTCTTCCCAGTATTGTACTCTTTGTCGTATAACGCTTTGAAACTACTGATGGTTTTGGCCTCCACCACCTTCTCACTCAACTTGTTAGAATCGTCTACCACTCTGTTTGGAAATTAAAACTTTCTTATATTTTTGGGGACGCCTTTGTTTCCTTAGCTTGAGTGTGTGTATTCACCTAGTTGTACAGTATTCACTTAGTTGTGCTTGTTGGGGTTGAGCTCTGGCTCTTTGGGCCAGCCTCTCAACTGTCCATCACTTTCTTTTTTCACACATACACCCAGGAAGCAGTCCATAGCAGATGTCTAACTCCCAGATACCTATTTACTGCTAGATGAACAGGTGCATCAGGATGAAAGAAACTCTGCCCATTTGTTTCCACCTTCACCGGGGATCGATCCCCAGACCCTAGGATTATGAATCCTGAGCGCTATCCACTCAGCCATCAGGTCCCCCTCAGGTGTGTAATTACCTAAGTGTAGTTACAGGATGAGAGCTACGCTCGTGGTGTCCCGTCTGTGTGTGTGGTGCATGTGCGTGAATAATAAAGTATGTTTAAAATACATACATGCATGTGTGAATAATATCTATTAATACTTGGGGATACTAATCATGCATAAAATACAATACCAATTCATAAGATCTTTATATATCTCTTAGCATCATCAAGGTAATTCACAGTAAACTAAACCATGCACACGGCTATATATTACACTATGATTTGCTCATTTTTGTTAAATGTTGTTTATATACTGTACTTACCAGCAAGGCATCTTCAACACCACAAGCAAGCCAAATGGTGGACAACACTGGGGGGCTGAGAGTCTGGAGTGTGATGTTTAGGATGTGCATGTCTAAAGTTGGAGAGTTCATAGAAAAAGTGTGTGTGCGGTGGGTGCATTATACTGGAAATGTGCACAATGAGCACGGCATATTGTGGATAACAATGAAGGAAAATTATTGTATGAGAAAAGTGTATACCACTGCAACATAAAACATAATTTGCAAAATATTTTCTCTAACTGGAAACCATGGAATGACAAATGCAGATACTGTATTACCATACATACTAAGTATATAATTTGTGATAATTACAGCTTTGCATATGATGCTCAACATTATGAAAATAATCTTGTCAACATTTAATCACTTTACTAGTAAACTTAAGTACAGACTGCATGACAATTAAATAAAAAAATAATTACGGTAATAAATTTGGTAGAAAAATAAGGCTGGAAAATAAATCTTAGTATAGTGATATAAAACTGTTCTTCCATTTCATATATACAATGGGAATTGCATGAAAAACAAACAGACCAATCAATATTTTTTTAAAGATCACAGAGTTACCATAAAATGCAAATCTGAATACAGTAATACAATGTGATAAGTTTTCTTTTTGTAATACAGTATTGTATTCTAACAATGATCCAGAAAAATCAGCAATTTCAATAGTCAAAAAATATATAATTGGCTTATGCTTGGATACATAATATAGGGCTCATAAGATGAGTGAAGGAAATGTTACACAATGTATAGTTCGTCGAGGAGACTCCCATACTAAGTTGTGGCCATTTCATAAAATGAATTACATGAAATGTACAAAGTGAAATATCAGATCATTTTTATAGTTTTGAAGTTGAGCAAGCATGAGCACCTCATGTTATCAGCAACAGCTTGTTTTAGCATTGCATAGCAAAGAAAAAGCAGAGGGAATGTGCTGGGCCATTTATAGATGAAGAAATAGATAATGTGAATGGTAGTTATCCATACAATAATGCCTATATCTATACAGTGCACCTTTTCCATAAAATTGATCATATTTTGGTCTAATTTAAAAAAAAATGCATTCATTATCCATAATTTGGAATGGAACAGAATCTGGTATTATTTTCATTACACCAAATGCATGTTTGATATAGAATATGGTTATTGAGAATAAATTTGTAGACAATATCACAATGTGGTTGAAAATTATACACCCAGCACACATCTGAAAATAAAGGAAGCAACAATATCTCAGTCCATCTCGGATTATTATCAAGTTGTGTAATAAAAAGTGATGGAGAAAGTCAATTTATAAGCTAGGAGAGTGAGGTGAAAAGGCAAGATGTATAGGAGTAGGTGGGATGCATAGGAATAGATGTGTAAGTATCCACTTAGGAAAAATGAAACAAAAATTTGGAACGTTTTTGTTTCAACACATTATTAAGGAAGATAGAGAATGAAGACATGGGATTGAGATTATATACTCCACTACACCCGGGTTGATAAAGATTCATAAACAAAATATTGAATAATGGAAGTGACATAAAGGTGGGATGATTAACTGTGTTTTCCCATAGTTCTTGGAATTAGGGAATACCCAATTAATCATCCCACCTTCACATCACTTTCATTATTCGATATTTTGTTTATGGATCTTTATCAACTCGGGTGTAGTGGGGTATATAATCCAAAACCCATGTCTTCTGTCTGTTACGGGCTATTCATGCCCGTGCCACATCTTGGGTGACTTAATCTTCATCAATCATCAGTCTTCTGTCTGTATTCCTCAATGTGTAAATGAACACAAAAATATTCAGAATTTTTGTTTCATTTTCCTAAGTAGATACAGTACTTATGCATAACAGATTCACACATTTTTTTGTGATTATTCTTGTATCATAAGAATAGATGTATAGAATTAGGTAAGATGTATTGGCATAGGGTAGAAGTAAGAGAATAAGTAGAAGTATACATCTTTACTTTTCCTTTACATCTTACCTACCCCCTATAGAGTACAGTACTGTACTTCAATTGTCTCGCCTTTTCACCTTGTTCTCCTACCTTATAAATTTATCTTCTGCACCACTCTTTCCATTACACAACTTGATAATGGTCCAGGACGGATGGAAATGTTAATGCTTCTTTTATTTTTAGATTTGTGGGTTGGGTGTTTTGTAAATTTTTTGTATGTGTATGGTATAATACTAATAGTTAAGTTGGAGAAGAGCAGTAGCAACTACCAGTGAAAACTTTAAAAATGTGAACTCCAAGCAGTTTTCTATAAATGAGATTATTCTGCTCAGAATATTAGTTTTTACTGTAGTTACTCTGCATCTGTACATATTTTGTATTCATAGTGTTGCATGAAGGTTTGCAATGCACAACATGCATGGCCAATCAAATTTTACACAAGGTTGCTTAAAATAGAAAGATATAAAACTATATATTCAAGTAATGACTATATAAATTATACGAAAAATAAAATTATCTTGCTATAGTAGATTATTCATAATTATTAGTCTCATTTCCTTGGCTTGAAAACTGAAGGGTGAGCAGAAACATTATCCTGCAGGGACCTGAAGGTACGCCCAGGGATACGAGCGCCTCTATAAGGTGTTGGTTCTTCTTCATATTGTGGGGCATCAGGGGTTGGAGTTTCTTCATTCAATGCTTCATCTTGAGGCTGCTCATGATACTGACTCTGTAGAAATCTAAATGAAGGTGATGGTACTTTAGATCCTCGGTAACCGAAGCCATGAACATCATCAGATTCTGGTTCTAGGGTGTTGTTTGAATGCTGTAGCTCTTGTTTTTGCAAGTCTTCTGGAGAATCATACTGAGCTTGTAAGTAACGGAATACCTTTCCAGGAGCAGCCTTAGGTTTTCTTCTTATTCCTGTATGATCAAACTGGGAAGTAAGCTCTTTAAGAACAGTCTCTTTGTTTACAGCTGTCTTTGCCATCCCATTGCAATAGTATTCATCAAGCTCTGTACATGAACTTGATGCATCTGAATCAAAGCTTGTGTTGTTTTCACTTTGCAATGATTTCACAACTCTGGATGGAATAGGTCCTCCTTCATAGCGTGGAGATGGACTTTTAGAGATTAGCTGTGACATAGGCTCTTGCAATTCGTTGGATTCTGATGATGCAGGATATTCTGTTTGTAAGTGACGAAAAACTCGAGAGGGAATGTGTCCCCCTTCATAACGCCTCTCTATAATACTTGGGTCATTTTGTGGGGTTGATTCTTGCCTTATAATTTTCATGAGTCGAGGACTCTCACGATCTGACTCGTGGTCTTCACTATTTTCTTTTGGTCCTGATAGTGTGTGATTAACAGGAGAAAAGAATCTTTGATTCTGAGTATTTTTCAAAGTTGGTGAGGAGCATTGAGAAAATGGAGAAGACGGTTCCTTAGTATGGCTAAGAGCAGAGTTAACAATACGTTCATCTTTGGGGCCATTGAGAGTAATTTTGGGAGAAACATGTCTGTACACTTTACTGTCTTTAGTAGTTGTGTAGGTAGGAGAAATCTTAGAAGAAGAAGAAATTCCACTGTCAGAAGAAGTGTCATTTGTTCCCAGGAGTGTGGAAGGTGAGTGTGATGTTGGGGAGTTTTGAACTGTGGATTTCCAGGTGGGAGAAGGTATCTGACTGGCTGCATGCTGTTTGTCGTCATCAGGGGGGCTGGTAGCCTCAGATGTATTGGCAGGATCTCCGTCGTCTGAGGCTAGAAACAAAGAACATGCAAGAAAGGCTGATGAAGCACAGTCCAGGCAAAAAACATGGTAGGAATTTTGTGCAGCAAGCCATACTGTTTAATAAAATATTAATGCAACAAACAACGTGCCACTTGTGAAACTGGCAAAAATTTAATTAAAAATATTGCAGAAAAACACTTACAAGTACTTTGGAGTTGTTCAATAAAACAGAATGGCTATTATGGAGTTGGTTTGGTACTTTATTGTATGCTAGGTTTGAACACATGGAACTGATTATTGTTTAGGATAGGAAAAGGTTATATTTAGTTTTATGAGACATAATTTGGTGATTTTTGTGCTTTCATACTGTCTAGACGCCTTTTGTTTCAAGATAAATATATAGTATATGGAACAATGAACCAATAAAACACATATTCCCACATTAGTAATAGTAAAACTTCCTTTCATATTTTGGCAAAAATTATAATTTACTGAAATTCATTACATTGGAGAAGCACTTTATTTTCAGATATTAAAATGCCTAAGAGTAATGTGGTAAGTGGAAACAGGTGAATGTTAAATGATATGCTATGTTAAGGGAAGGCTACTCCTTCCTCTAAACACACTCAAATTACTTCTTGTTCGATCACAGAACAATTAAAATACACAACTTGAAAACAAAATTCATTGTAAAAGAGAAGAATTAATTACTAGTCAAGACAATATGAGAGCACAGCAGGGATGTGGTAACACTCAACCAAACCTCAAAGTGCAATGTCTTGGCAACACTTGTAAAATCTTGACTTAAAAGAGCACAGTATAGTAATATTTATCTCTTTCCATGCAGGCAAACATAATACTGCATCTCATTTCTGCATAATTAAACAATTATTACGGCAACCCATTTAAAACACAGTACATTAGACTTAAAGTGCAGCATGATGGAACTGTACAGAAACTGCTTTTACACAAAATCAATTTTGGCACAATTTTGATTTACATTCATACATTGATTTATATTCAATTTTGATGTTAATAATCAGTCTTATGCAAGCTTGTGTACCAATGAGCCATTTGAACGATCATCATGTTTTCAAAACTTATAAAGATTTCTTTAAATGAAAATGGTACCACATATTGCTGAAGAGAGGGGGACCGAAGGTGTTGTGAAAAGTGTTATTACTATCAGCATCCCATCATGATGGGGGCAGATCTGCCATAGAAACTCCACACATGTATAACACCAACTGCTCATCTTCTGTACAAGAAGAGTTGGGAATGGAGCAGATACGAAAGAAATCTATTAATTAAGCAGAGCCCAGAACCAGGGCTAAACCATCCACATAAAAGTGAGGAAAACTGTGGAACCCACAGAGCTCCCCATCTCCAAAAGAACTGGCAAGTGCCTCTGGATTGAAGAACACAGCCTCTCACAGTTTCCATCAAGTTGCAGCACATCCACAATCATCGTCTCAATCATGAAACTGGGATATACAATAGTGCTATATACAATAGCCAGGCAGCTTGTGGTTCCATATAAATATTCAAATGGAGAAATCGTGTAAATGTGGCATATCCAAGCGAAGGCGCTCCCACCCACCTCCCAGTCCATCCACATCAGACAAAACCCTGGTATTTCACACGTGCCCCAACTAGAGCAAACACTGCAAGGAGTGGATCTAGAATTTAGTCTCGACCACAGAGTTTAGTCCACTCTGACTGAAGCTGGAAGAAGAGTTCCTGCCACAAAGCACTGTGTATTAGTGGTTATAGGCATACTGTAATATATGCTAGCTCTATTTAGAAATGCAACATTCTGTTTGTAACTCATTTTGTATTATGTAGATTTTACCTGAATAATAATTATTAATTAATTAATTAATTATTATTATTATACGAAATTAATCATGTCTGACAGGCAAATGTAAGGGATTTACTAATACAGTATACCTGTGGCTAAGCACCATAACCCTGATAAAATGCAGTCAGACAAGAGTGGTTTAATCCAAATGCATGGTTCTATCTTGCATTAAAAACATCAAATACCACCCTAATACCTTAAGAAAGGGGAAGGCAAAACTGAGTACACCTATGAAACAACAGAACAATGGGTAGGAAAAATATATTTTGGGCAGTTTGTAAGATATCAATGGTTCTCACATACTGTACAGTATTGTACTGTATCTTTAGGTTTGATTTGGTCAGGTTGGGCTCTATGCAGGTTTTACAAATGTATACAGGGGTACCTCGGTTTACGAACTTAATCCGTTCCTGGAAATGGTTTGTAACCCAAAAATTCATAAACCGAAGCGAATTTCCCCATAAGAAATAATGGGAAATGAATTAATCTGTTCCAGACTCCCCAAAAAAATTAACTTCAAAGTAAATTTTATACCTAATTCACCAAAATCTTAAGTACAAGAGTACAGTGTGTACGAGTTATTACTTACCTCTACTGATGACTCCTGTTGGCATATGGAAGATGGTGAGGAGGGGAGGGAGGAGGAGAGGTGTTACTGTTTGGAAGGGAAGTCCCCTTCCATTATAACATCAGGCAGTGATGACTTCTCTGGGGTACACATTCTGGCACATTTTGCCTGCATACTACTAGGACCTGCTTCTGGCTCACTGCTTGATTTTTTCACTAGAGATCATTCCATTGAAGATTTTTTTTTTCCTTCTTTGTAACACTTGTCTGTAGTGAAACATCACACTGTCATTAATAAGATCAATGCAACAGCCTGCTACAGCTTTATCTAGGCGATTCTTTTCAGCAAAACTTTGCAGTTCTTCCCATACTGCACACATTTTCTTAATTAATGAGGAAAGGACATCCTCTACTGCCTCCTCATCCTCCCCTGAAGATTTGTTGTACTGCCTATCTAGTTCAACAACACGTGTACCATTTTCATGTTTACGAATGATTGTCTCCTCTGGCCTGTGGTGCGTTGGGCAGTAGCTCCTACTTCGTGGGGTTCAGGGCTGACAGGGCAGGCTTCTTCCCACTTTGCTCCATGGATCATCTTGGAGTGGGTGCGCTTGAGCGTGGTCGAAATGCTCCTGTCCCTCAGGTGGGTTTCCCGCCTGTTTCCAGTGCCGAAATGGGACTGTGCAGATCTGCGGTTCATTCTGGACTTCGTCCCATCTTAACCCCTGAATTCCTTGCCCCTCCTTTCGAATGACCACTCAATCTCATGTCTGGCTTCTTTTGGAGGTGGGTGCTTAGATGGTATCTCTGGTCCTCCAGGATGCGTGTTGGCATATTCTCATTCATCCGGGGTTCAAGGACTAACTAGGTTTCATGGTGGGGTGGCAAGCTTACTACTTTCATTGCCCTCCTTTTGGCTTAAATATGGCACCTTGCATATTTATGCTTCTTACCCAGGTCGTGGTGACCCATCTGTCTGCTAGGGATTCGGATTCTGGCTTACCTCGATGACTAGTTGGTGTGGGCCCCCAGCCGGTCTCCTTGTTTGCTCTCCAGGGGTGTGGGCCCCCAGCCGGTCTCCTTGTTTGCTCTCCAGGGGTGTGGTTCTTTCACAGCTCACTGGGTTTGGGTTCCTGGTGATTTGGAGGAAGTCTCATCTGGTTCTGTCCCCGGTTCAGACCTGGCTGGGCCTTGTTTGGGACTCTCGGACCGCTTCCTTGTCTCTCCCTCTGGAGATGTTGCTGCGGCTGCAGTTCTGCCTTCAGCTGTTTCTGGGGGTCCCGAGTCACTCGGTGGTTGCTCGAGCAGTTGTGCGGGAGTTTGAACTTTCCTATGCTGGTTTACCCGCTGGGTCGGGTTTGGCTTCGGCATCTGTTCTAGTTCCTTCAGGGATGCCCCCTTCAGCCTCTCTTGCGATCGCTGGGTTCGGCCCCCGTGGGCCTTGCGTCAGTTGCTGCATCACCAGCTTCCTCTTCAGGTTTTCCAGGGTTCAATGCCTTGGCGCCCTCCCCGAGCCCTCGTGCGATGTGTTCAGGGATGCGTCGTCTTTCGACTGGGGCTTTGTGACCAGTGCTCACCAGGCTGGCTAGGGGTGGTGGAGTTCTATCTTTTCGTCGGGCTCATAACGCGGTGCAGGAGTTCGCGGCAGTTTGGCTGTCGCTTCGGAGGGTTCAGGTTGCTCGAAGTTTGACATTCCGGCTCCATTCAGACTGTTCTCTGGTGGTTCATTGCCTGAAGCGCAGGGGTTCTCTTTGGTCCTTGCCTTTGCCTCTTTGGGGCTGGTCACTCCGAGTGGCTAGTCTGCTGGTTTCTTGAGGTTTGGCTCTCTGTGCAGTTCATATCCGAAGAGTGTCCAACGTCCTGGCAGACAGCCTGTCCCAGTTCATTCCCATCCACGGACTGGACAGTCGATACTGACTCCTTCAGTTGGCTCTGCTGGATGTACAGGCTCCCAGAGGTGGACCTCTTTGCTTTGGCGTGGTCTCGACGTCTCCTGATATATGTGGCGCCCTTGCCTGATTGCAGAGCCTTCGCCGCATATGCCTTTCGGCAGGACTGGTCGAGGTGGGGTTACCTGTACCTCTTACCCCTGGTCCAGCTGTTGCTTCAAGTTCTGGCTTGATTGGAGTCTTAACATGGGAGAGTTGTCCAAGAGGCCTCTTGGTGTCCAGCCCAGCCTTGGTTTCAGGCGCTGCTTTCTCAGTGTCCGAACCCGGGGGGGTTTTCCACGGCTCTGCCTCTTCCAGCAGCTGGTTCAGTCTTCTCCGCACTTGGTGTGTGGTCATTTTGACGAGGGGTTTATCACCATTTGTATGGTGATCAGGTGAATATATTTAATGATAGTGACTATGCAATTTTGTAAAGCCTTTACTATGAAATTTGCAACAAGAGTGCAACTGTTTAATAATGGGGGCAAGGTTTCAACCTAAATTTTATTACTAATACACACTCGCACACCCAATTACATAATATCCCAGTGCCAGTTAACTCAAAAGATAGAGCTAATTGGCAGTGGCACTAGAAAATAGATTAAACACTTGCATAAAACAATTTATTTTTTCAAATTGACATCACACCCAGAAAACGGAAACTAATCCCAACAAAAATACAGGCTATAGTTAGCAATTTTTCTGATTTTGAAGATGAAAGTAACGAAAGTGATGTAGATACTGTAGTGAGTTTGTTGAAACTGAAACAAAAGGTGAGTATGAACTTGAAAGTGAGGGGAGTACTGATTTTGAGCCCCCTACCGCCACAGGCACACGTGGATGCACCACACATAGGAAACGCAAACGTTCTGGTGAATGGAATGACCAAAGATGGCATCTAGACACTGGGGATGCTCATCATAAAAAGTACCAAGCAAAAATAGCCTAGTCAACACAGCTGATCTCAGCATACCATATAAAACAAGTGCATGAATTCACTTGTTTCATTCAAAACCTTCACCCTCAACCACAGGTTTAAACAGTAGAGTCAAAAAGACCCTTGCCCGAGGTAAGGTAAGGGGTGCCTTACCTGAGGTAAGGCACCCCACCCTGGAGGTTCAACCTTGAAAGAGCATCTTCCCAAAGCTGTCTGAGGCAAAGGTCAGAGTAAAGTTTGAGGAGAATAACCATTTTCTATACTTTGGAGGCATTAGCAATCAGATAACATTACCCAGGAACAAAAATGATTTCAATGTGTAATACAACTTTAGAGGAATATATAGAAGTTGAACTGAGCTCTTAACAACTAGTGATAGGATAGTTTTAAGGGCCCCAAGTCAATTCAGAGTCTTTTTCAATGTTGTAACATTTTATATTACAATTTTAAAATCTAGATTTTTAGGAAACATTAGAAATTTTCTCTTACACAACTATAGAATGATACGATCAAAATGACTGCAATAAAATTAATAAATCTAAAATATCAAAATACAAACTTTCTTTTTTAAATTATTTATGTTTAAACCTCATTTTTAATAATCATGCTCATGTTTTAGGGCTAAATAGCAAAGAAATGCAAATCTGAAAACATTGTACCAGAGCAACGGTGACTTGCGGCCCCTTAAAAGATAAAATCCACTAGAAAAACAAAGTTCATCCAGATGAATGCAACTGACTACTGTAATCACAGTACAAGTTGGTGCTAGAGTAATTGTAGTTGAGGTTACTGTATGGCTTGGTTCGCCAACCCTTCCAGACATGTCAATTGATAGCCTCCCACCACTCCCATGCTGTTTAATTCTGTGTGTATTACAGTACTTATTTCATCTAAGAGACAAATTAATTAGATTGATAATATTAATTAATTTATTTATGGATTTATTTAAGTTTCCAGTGCTGAAGAGGTGGACAGAGGTCGAAGTGCCCTACACCTAAAGCTCCACAACACATCACTAGCAAATGGGTTTAGAACATACATGTTGGTACGAATATGTCGGTACAGAGACCTTTCCTAAACACTGCACACTCGAGACAATAGCTAGCTCTCTGGTCTGTATATGTATCTTCATCTGTCCATTTGTCTACATGTATTTTTCTGTCTTCCCAACATACTCAGATAGGTCTGGGTTTTCACTGTATTTGGCTAATTCTTGGGATATTTACATGGCAGTAACCCAGAGATCTAACCTGAATCAAACAACAGTTGGTTAACCTGAAGATGAAGATATTCAAGGGTTGGATAAGAGAGAATGCAGTACAATGTTGTAATTTAAAGTGCAGCATAAGTAAATTTAAGTAGGAAGATGGCCAAATTTTCTTCATAGAAAGAATCTCACAAAACTTACACATTTTATTATAAATATAGATTTTTTCCATGTAATCTAATGCAATTATTTCATTTATTTATTTAATTGAATTCTACACGAGATAAGTTGCCAAAAAATATAGATACACACCAAAAGGAGCAAACAAACTAATGCAGGGTATTTCTCTACACTATGGCATGACTTTAATCTCTCACCCAAACATAACCAACTGCCAATTAAAACTTTCAGTGTCAAACAGCAAATAAGTAACTAAAGCCAATAGCACTGAAACAATTTGAATTTCTAGGGCAAGCAAACTAAAGCAACAAAATGCTATTAATCTTCCATTATAATCTTTCCAACCTTTCTGAACATTCTCAAAAAGAGTATTTTGCAGTGCCTATAGTCCAATAGCTTACATAAAAAAAATCCTGTGACAGTAATGTACAAGCAAAAAAAAAAAAAAATGTATTTCATTTATCAACTATTTCTTTATTGAGAGATGTTTTTAAAGCTATTTTCTCTATAATGGACATGGCAAAATCTTTATGAGAGTGAGAAAGCTCAGACAGAAGGCTCACCCTTACCATCATCAGCGCTCGTCATGGCCTGCAACATTTTGAAGGAGCGAGATGGGATGCTGCCCCCCATATATTTCTTGGGTTCAGGTACAGACTCATCTGCAGCCAGTGTGCTTCTCACACCACCTGCAACATGAAAATGTATTTTAGGCCTATGGTACATGGAGCAAATGAAGCACTGGAAGAAAATTACATTTTAACAGTACAGTATATCTTGTTATTTTTTTTCAGAATATTTTTCTTTTACAACTAAGAACGGGTCTGTATATACAGTTGTATATTGTGTAAAGCAATCTCGTATTACCAACCTGATTTAGTGGTTCAATTACCACTAAGTCATTAGTGGTTCACTTACTAATGAATCATTAATAGTTCATGTACCACTAAATTCATTATTAGTTGCTTAAAAAAATATCTACCATATATGCTGGTATATAAATCAACTTTTGAAACCTAAAATTTTTTTCAAAACCCATGGGCATGGGAGGGCATGGGAGGGCATGGAGGGCATGCAGGGAAGGGCAGTGAGGAAATATTCAATCAATTCAATTTCAACAATAAGAGGATTGACTGGGAAAAAATAAATGTAGACCTTGCAACCATTCAATGGGAGACGGTCTTAAGCGACAAAACTCCCACACAGGGAATAGCTCAACTGACAGCTGAAGCTTACAAGGTCTGCTTGAAGCACGTACCTGTGAGGAGGGGCAGAAAGAGGACCACTCTAGAAAGAGAACGCAGACGACTGTACAGGAGAAGGAAAAAAATAACGGAAATGCTTCGGCAGACACAACTATCACAAGCAAGGAAAACAAGCCTAAGCAGGGAGATTGAGGAAATAGAACAAACGTTGAAGCGATCATATGAGTCTGAGGAAATGGAATTGGAACAGAAAGCTATACAAGAGATAAGGAAAAATCCGAAATATTTTTTCACATACGCAAAATCAAAATCCAAAACCTCGACCAGTATTGGACCGTCAATTACAAATGAAGGTACGTACACAGAGGACAACAAAGAGATTAGTGAAATTCTAAGAAGCCAGTATGAGGCTATGTTTAGCACACCAATAAACAACATGAAAGTTGATGACCCAGACAGCTTCTTTATGAATGACATTCAAGCTGCAGATAATATAACGGATATTACCACAAACTCGGAAGACTTTGAAAGAGAAATTGATAATATGCCTATGCACTCAGCTCCTGGGCCTGACTCATGGAATTCAATATTCATAAAGAAATGTAAAGTACCAGTAGTGAGAGCACTCAGCGTAATATGGAGAAAGAGCCTGGATACAGGGGAGATACCAGCAGCACTTAAATCTGCAGATATAGCTCCGTTGCACAAGGGGGGGAGTAAAGCCTTGGCAAAAAATTATAGGCCAGTTGCACTAACATCACACATAATAAAAGTGTTTGAAAGAGTGATTAGGAATCAAATTTCTAGTTTTATGGAAAACAATGAATTGCACAATCCAGGACAACATGGATTTAGAGCGGGAAGATCCTGTCTGTCACAGTTACTCAACCACTATGACAAAATCACAGAAGCCCTAGAAGAAAAGCAAAATGCAGATGTTGTATACACACACTTTGCAAAGGCGTTCGACAAATGTGACTATGGGGTGATAGCTCACAAAATGAGGTCAATGAGGTCAATGTGCCTATGGCAGAGGTGCCATAGGCACAATCAGAGAGCACTGTATAAACATCAGGGGTCCGCGGTTGTTCAACGTCCTCCCAGCGAGCATAAGAAATATTGCCGGAACAACCGTGGACATCTTCAAGAGAAAACTGGACGATTTTCTAAGAGAAGTTCCGGATCAGCCGGGCTGTGGTGGGTACGTGGCCCTGCGGGCCGCTCCAAGCAACAGCCTGGTGGACCAAACTCTCACAAGTCGAGCCTGGCCTCGGGCCGGGCTTGGGGAGTAGAAGAACTCCCAGAACCCCATCAACCAGGTACCAACCAGGAGGCAGGCAAGGCTGGCAGGAAGGGAAGGAGGGCAGGCAGGCAGGCAGGCAGGTGGGGTTGGCTGGCTGACAGGCAGGAAAGGAGGACGGGGTGGCAGGATGGGCAGGTTGGCAGGGAGGGAGGCTCGCAGGCAATCAAGAGGCGAGGGAGGGAGGGAGACAGAGCAGGAGCCTTCTGCCCACAACACTTTGGGCTGATTGGTAAGTACAATGTTAGTCAGCTGATGATTTGCTTCTTCATGCTAGAGTCACGATTGACCACCTGTGTCGTCAAATTTTTATCAAATGGAAACGTATTCAACTATTTAAAATATACCACACTTTTCACCATTATGATTGCTCCAGTATGACATCTTGCTAATAAAGGAGGCAAATTACAGTGTAGATAATGCAATATTTAACAATAACATCTCTTGATTGACTCGTGGCTTGGAAATATTTGATAAACTTTCGACCTATTCACTGCTCACCCATGCTAGTCTCACTGCTGGCTCAAATCTAAATCATGGAATATTATTTCATATCAACAGTTACATTTCATGTATATATAGTATTTGATATATACATCAAATAATAATACAAAAAATAAAATAGCAAACACTTTACTAATAAGAATAAGGAATACAGATGAAATACAGTACTGTATTAATGGATACAAAGGGTGGGTTGAGGCTAGCTACAAGTAAGTGTATTTACTATTTGTAGCTGCTGAATCGAGCTATTAGATCTTAGAGTGTGTAATTACCCAAGTGTATTTACTGGATGAGAGCTACACTCGTGGTGTCCTGTCTTCTAGCACTTTGTCATATAATGCTTTGAAATTACTGACAGTTTTGGCCTTGTGTCGCTAGGCCTGACAAATCCTGTGTGGAACACGTATCTTCATTCACCTCCCCTGACAACATCCACCACTAACACCACCAACCTTTCCTGACAACCACCTGCCTGCCATGACAACCACTGACACCACCTGACAACTATTGACCACCTGACTTCCCTGACAACCATTGACACCACTTGCTTCCCATGACAACCAATAACACCAGCTGCCTCCCATAACCACTGACTAATCAAGTGGCTGCCTAACAACCACTGACATCACTTGCTTCCCCCTTACAACCACTGACACCACCTGCCTCTCATGACAACCACTGACACCATCTGCCTCCAATGACAACCACTGACACCACCTCTCTCCTGACGGTTGAGAGGCGGGACCAAAAAGTCAAAGCTCAACCCCCACAAGCACAACTAGGCGAGTACAAGCACCGACACGACCTGCTTCCCATTACAACCACTGACACCACCTGCCTCCCCTGTCAACCACTGACACCACCAGCTTCCCATGATAACCACTGACACCACCTGCCTCCCATGACAACCACTGACACCACCTGCCTTCCACGACAACCACTGACACCACCTGCCTCCCATGACAACCACTGACACCACCTGCCTCCCATGACAACCACTGACACCACCTGCCTTCCACGACAACCACTGACACCACCTGTCTCCCCTGGCAACCACTGACACCACCAGCTTCCCATGGCAACCACTGACACCACCAGCTTCCCATGACAACCACTGACACCACCTGCCTCCCATGACAACCACTGACACCACCTGCCTTCCACGACAACCACTGACACCACCTGCCTCCCACGACAACCACTGACACCACCTGTCTCCCCTGGCAACCACTGACACCACCAGCTTCCCATGACAACCATTGACACCACCTGTCTCCCATGACAACCACTGACACCACCTGCCTCCCATGACAACCACTGACACCACCTGCCTCCCATGACAACCACTGACACCACCTGCCTCCCATGACAACCACTGACACCACCTGCCTCCCATGACAACCACTGACACCACCTGCCTCCCATGACAACCACTGACACCACCTGTTTCCCCCGGCAACCACTGACACCACCTGCCTTCCTGACAACGACTGACACCACCTGCCTCCCACGACAACCACTGACACCACCTGCCTCCCCTGACAACCCCTGACACCACCTGCCTCCCCTGACACCACCTGCCTCCCCTGACAACAACTGACACCACCTGCCTCCCCTGACAACTATTGACACCACCTGCCTCCCCTGACAACCCCTGACACCACCTGCCTCCCCTGACAACTACTGCCACCACTGACAACCACACCACCTGCCTCCCCTGACAACCACTGACACCACCTGCCTCCCCTGACAACCACTGACACCACCTGCCTCCCCTGACAACCACTGACACCACCTGCCTCCCCTGACAACCACTGACACCACCTGCCTCCCCTGACAACCACTGACACCACCTGCCTTCCATGACAACCACTGACACCACCTGCCTCCCATGACAACCACTGACACCACCTGCCTCCCATGACAACCACTGACACCACCTGCCTCCCATGACAACCACTGACACCACCTGTTTCCCCCGGCAACCACTGACACCACCTGCCTTCCACGACAACGACTGACACCACCTGCCTCCCACGACAACCACTGACACCACCTGTCTCCCACAACACCCACTGACACCACCTGCCTCCCATGACAACCACTGACACCACCTGTCTCCCACGACACCCACTGACACCACCTGCCTCCCACGACACCCACTGACACCACCTGCCTCCCACGACAACCACTGACACCACTTGCCTCCCACGACAACCACTGACACCACCTGCCTCCCACGACAACCACTGACACCACCTGCCTCACACGACAACCACTGACACCACTTGCCTCCCACAACACCCACTGACACCACCTGCCTCCCATGACAACCACTGATACCACCTGTCTCCCCTGACAACCACTGACACCACCTGTCTCCCCTGACAACCACTGACACCACCTGTCTCCCCTGACAACCACTGACACCACCTGTCTCCCCTGACAATCACTGACACCACCTGCCTCCCACGACAACCACTGACACCACCTGCCTCCCCTGACAACCACTGATACCACCTGTCTCCCCTGACAACCACTGACACCACCTGCCTTCCCTGACAACCACTGATACCACCTGCCTCCCCTGACAACCACTGACACCACCTGCCTCCCCTGACAACCACTGACACCACCTGTCTCCCCTGACAACCACTGACACCACCTGCCATCCATGACA